TGAGTCTTCCTCATGGCTGCTGCCCCCTCCTCCTGGGCAGTCCTTAACTTATATAGCCCTTATGACCTAATTTACTTGGTCCAATGGAGGCCAGCACCTGTTGGCTGTCAGCCAACCAATTTGAAATGCATCACTGGTTGCTAGGCAGACTGGCAGTGTCTAGCTCAACAGGGAGCCCAAGCCCCTCATCCAGGTATGTGATGCCAGTCACGTAGGCAGAGAGAGCAGGTTTCCCCCCTCCCTCAGGAATGTATCCAGCTCAGGTTACCTAAAGAGATAGGCTAAGGTGTGTATCCTTTGCTGGGCACATCCTAACCAAATTGTCACAGAGCAGAGTTTTTGGGGAGAAACAGAGGTGGCCTTCTGCCTCAGATCCTGTTACTCATTAGCCAGAGCCAGCAGGGAGCAAACACCAGCACACATTGCTCGCAACAGCTTTATTCAAAATAGAGACAGCTTCGGGCGAGCTCCCTCACAGACACACAGCCTGTGAACATGGGGAGCAGCAGTGAACATTAGTTTTTTCACATTTTATAAACCTTAGTTCATGCTCATTAACATTCACTCCACCTTCTGTTCCACCCATTTCTCCTCCCATCTCAAGCTTCACCTCAGTTTACTATTTACTTCACTATTTACTATTGCCTATGCATTTCATTAATTTACATGCCTCTCTGTTAGGAGAACATGCATAAGACTTTGACCTCCACTTCTTTCAGTCACTTGCTGGTTCTTTCTGGTTTCTTGCTGACTTCAGCATCCTCTCCAAGGCCTTGCTTCTGCTTTATCTCCTGATAATAGCTGGTGAGCTGCATCTTGTTTTTCTTACACAAGGAATCATGCATCTTGCACACCACGCCATTGTTAGAAAACTGCTTGCTTAAGCATTTGCAAAGTTATTCTTAATATATCATTTTGCTTTGTGACCACCAGCTTTTGCTGAGACACAAAAAAAAGCCTTTATTCAGTTGCAAATCCAGTGCTCTCCAAAATCCAAATACTGTCACCCTAACACATACTTTGGTTGATTACATGTTAGAGGTTCAGTGATTGAAGAACATTTGTTCTGTGTGTTTGTTTTTGTTTTGATGACCTTTTCTGAGATGGAAAGTCCCTATGGAGTTTGATAGCAAGGGACACCTCCTGTATACTTATATAATTGGACCTCTTCCCAGCTGGGTGAGGAACAGGACAGAAGGAGAAGCAATGGATAATGCATCCCTAGGGATGGTTGTTTCTGAAGAGTTACAGATGTAGTGAATGGAGGTTTCCTCTTAAAACAGAAGAGGCAGAGGAAACTGCCCCCAAGAAGCCCCCTTCCCCCACCAAGAAGCCACCATCAGGAAGCCAAACATCCTACTTTGCTCAATTTAGAGCTAGTGGTCAGCATGAAACAGCTTGTATTGTACACCAAGTGGCAGAAGAGCATGATCAACCCAGGTCACACTACCATTTGAGTGGCATCCTCCTCCCCAGCCACAGGTTTGGCAGAAATGTCTGAGTGAAACGTGGTGACAATCCTGAATATCAAACTGTTTTCTGATACACAGCAGTTCCCACAGCAGCTTAGCAGTCCTCCTGCTAGTGATGCGTTTATACTTTATCACTCCCTGTGGGATGTGTGCACTGACTCTTGACTGTAAAATGTTGTGCGCAGGTGTCCAGGAAGCAGTGGTGACTTGCCTGAACAAACAGACAAGGGAGATTACAGATGAAACTCTGTGTGTGACCAGTCGCCGTCCTCCACAGCTATTAAAAGCCTGCAATCTGGAGCCCTGTCCCCCAAGGTAGGCTGCTTATATTATTTCCTTCAGTAGCTACACGTGTACAGGAGAGGAGTAACTATCATTAACTGATGCCTTCCAATGAATGTGCAGCCTCCCACATTCCCAGTGAAACTAGGAAAGTGGGGTCATATTTGCTGGTATGAACCAGGACTTCAGCAAAATGACTATAATTTCCATAATTGAAAACAAGGCCTGAAGTATTTAACCCAATTACATCTTCCCAAATTCGGTTTTCTGGGCCAAGCAAAGATGATTTAACTGTGTGAAATTCCATTGACTGTATTATACAAAAATTCAGATTAGATGATCTAATGGTCCCTAATGGTCATAAAATCCACAGGTATAAATGCTACATGGATGTAAGTCTTATTAATGATTGTAATAATAACAATTCCAAGATTGTTCAATGGGATTTGGAGGTACCACATCAAAAAACAAATCTAATACACCGGCATGAAATGATTCCAGCATAATGTTAATACTGTCCTAAGCTATTTAAACAATTGCAATAATACAAGAAACAGAGCACAAAGGAAATATTCCTGTCTCCCCAGCAGACACATATCTTTACTGTATTGTACTAATTAACCTCCCTGGGTCTTAGTCTTAATACAGACATTCCATTTCTCCTGGGAGAGTCACTGCTCTCCCAGGAGAAACTAAGAGTGTACAGATGTTCCCAATTTTTTCTCCCACAGAGAAATGACCAGTCCAGGAAAAAAATAACATGTGAACAATCAGTGTTAAAATAACTTCCAGAATAGTTTCTTCTAAGCAAGTGAATGTCTGTACACATTCTCTTTTGAAAGAAACCACAGCATAATCCTCTAGCATTCCAAGCTGCTTTGCTCCTGCCCCCCTCAGAAGATAGTATGTTGCGTTACTACTCCAGCCAAGCAGAGAGTAGAGCATGTCTCCTTCAAAATCCCACATTATACAGCAGGAAGACACAGACTGACGATGAGTGGTCTGGGCCAGCCAATCAGGACTGCTCTGTTCTCTGCTGCTATCTATTACCATGCTGAGATGTGTGCCCAGCCCCCCCACACACACCAGCTGTGCAGTGTCAGCATTGCAAGTTCTTGATTCTTCAAGGGCTCAGACTTCAAGTGTCTGTTCAGGCATCTCTAGATAATTTTTTCTACAAGAAGAACAAACCCAAGAGAATTCTCCCAAATGATTTGAATGTGTGTATGCAGCCTTAATTTGCTTAGTAATACAGAACAGCACTGAAACTAATGAAGGACAAACTCAGAGAAGCATCCAAATATTTGCCTGTTGATTTGAACATTGTCTATATCTGCCTGAAGGACTGGAGATCACTTCCTTTGGCTTCCATCATTTTTTATAACCCACAAAAGGCCTCAAGAGCATCTTTGTTCCTGTCCTTAACTCTCCTAGTGAAGGATACTGTGGAAAATCCTAACCTTAAAATTAGTAAACCTAAACCTAGAAAAAGGGCAGGGCACCATATTTATGTCACTTCTTAAACAAAATATATTTTAAAAGGTTCTTTAGTTTTCGTTAAATCTTTCCAAATCTAGAGAGAATTGTACGTGTATATTTATGAACTGCATACCTTTCTAATTGTCTAAAGCTTGATTCATAGTTATACTGAAGCTCAAATACTTCCTTCTGGCAGCATAAAGAATCCTTGAAGTGACTTTAAGTAATATATGACTATTTAAAAGCCCTTCTACATGGGCAGTGTGGTATAACAGAAGCCCTACTGTATCGCAAGAAGCTGTTCCTTGAAATCTCTACATATGTTGCATAATTATGTTGTCATATCAATAGGTTTGGGGTACAGTGTGATCCTGAAGCTAGAAATCAAATGTGTCCAGCATCAAAGAATAGTACTAAAGATATTTGGACAAAGGAAGTAATTTGATTGGATGACAGAAATTCTGAATTGAGTCATAATGACAGCCAAATGGACTGAACATCTTAACTAAATATTTCAGAACCTGTGTTATAAGTATACATTTAGTAAAATGAACTCCTGAGCAGTTGTGCTCTGTTAAACAGTGTGCACATACACATTTGTTAACATTTATAAAGCAATTTGAAAATGGAAAGAACTACGAAAATACTAAGTGGTACTACTGTGTCTGTCTATAAGTATCACCTATGTGCCCTTAACTTAGTGGAGACAGAACTTATTGATGGGGAATTTCTGTTTTAAATAAAGGGAGAGATAAACTTCTATGAAGTCTAATATAAAAGTGAAAATATCCATTGACTGAGGGGCCCAAAGCCTGTCATAGGCCTGAGGGGATCTGAGTTTGGCTCTTTTCCCTTTCAGATGGTGGCAGCTCTGCCAGCAGTGTAAAACATCACCCTTTTTGTCCTGTCCCTGGAAGTATAGAATTAGTCAAGCAAGTGAAATCCACAGGTGCATCTCAGGTAGGGCCAAGGAGGTGATCCTTCCCCTCTACGCGACACTGGTCAGGTCACAGCTGGAGTACTGTGTCCAGTTCTGTGCGCCCCACTTCAGGAGGGATGTGGACAACATTGAGAGGGTCCAGAGGAGGGCCCACCCACATGATCCGGGGACAACAGGGCAGACCGTACAATGAAAGACTGCGGGACCTGAACCTGTTCAGCCTTCACAAGAGAAGGCTGAGGGGG